GAAGCAAGTTTCCTTTCCCGAAAATCACAAAGTGCTTTGAGCACAATTCCTTCCCTCATCGAATAATTCGCGCGTGACATAACTTATCGATAAAAGGATATCGGTCAGATATTTGCAAAGCAAACAGGCATCGAGAACAGGATAATAGTTCGATTGAACATTGGAGACAATTGTCCATCAACATTATATGATACAAACGAGGTGGAGGTGGCATGTCGGATCGGTCCGATTGCTTTTAGGTTTACGATCTTATATCAATGATTAAACAGAGAAATTTTGGCTATTATGCGCATGCAGCCCAGTTGGAAACCCCGAAGCATTTATAGGGTGAGTAATAGTTCCATATTTAGAGCAACTTTGGTACGAAAGCTTCTTTCGAGATTGTGCTACAGGCATTCCTCGTCTTGCGCTCTGCGGCGGGCTGAAATTTATCGCGTAACTTTATGATGAATTTCGTACGACAATTCCGTTACCAGAGCTTTCTCCCTTTGTATTTTAAAACACGTCGTATATTTCGAGAATATTTTAACGCGATAACGTCGCTATTTCAATGAAAAATTATATCCGTTAATGTAAAATTTGAAGAGAAAAAAATTCTAAAATTTTAGAAATTGTGTATTAATATTGAAAGGAATATCTTTGAAAACTTATTTCCTAGTTTTAAATCTACAATTGATAACGAAAGGAATATCATTGTAAATTATCTATTTTAAGATAGTATTATTCACAAAATAAATTCGATAATTAGAACCAAAATTATCATTGACACATGAAAAGATCCAAACGTATATAAGAATTACAAATCTTCTTCTAATAATATAATATAAATGATATAAGAATAGCATAAGAAAAATCATTCGTTTCCAAAACTCAAAGATGATTATTTTTAGACGGAAGGAATCACGATGAGGCCAGGACTGCCAGGGCAGAAAGGCGAAGCAGGCCTTCCGGGAAGTCCAGGACCAAAAGGAGAGACGGGAATCGCTGGTGCCAAAGGTAACAAAGGCGAGCCAGGTCATAAAGGCGCGAAAGGGGATCACGGGAATGAGGGTGCTCGAGGAATTCAAGGATCGAAGGGTGAACCTGGTGCACCGGGAGCGCCGGGTCTCCCTGGTGCACCAGGTGAGAATGGAAGGCCAGCTGAAAAGGGTGATAAAGGAGACACAGGGCCAGAAGGGAAGCCAGGCCCCCCGGGAGCGCCTGGACCGCCAGGATTGCCTGGATTAAGCGGTCCTGGAGGAGTAAACGTTGGAGAATCGAGTAAGAATTATTATCTCATAATTACAATCGTACAATTGTCCATTTCACAAGGAAATAATTGAACCAACATATTTTTAAATATGGTGATTTTGAAATATTGAAATAATATAGTATTAATGATATCCCTTTGTTAAATTGTATATTGATCGATCGCGACATTTTGAAATTCATGAAATCGAACATGCGCGATATTTTCCTAAATAATTAATCCCGGAAAACCCTGCGAAAAAATAGATTTAAAAAAAAACAAATTCCATTTTTATACTGATCGAAAAATTCAAAATGATCGATCATCTACTAAAAATAAAGATTATTACTAAAAAAAAAAAAATACAAACGCAACATCCTTATATCATTCTTCAAATATCGTTGCATCGTCGTACAAAATTACAATTCTCCCTTTTATCTTAGCCACGTTAACGCGAACAATTACGTTCCTGAATTAATTACATACGAATTAATTAGTGTTAAGGGAAAAAGGCGACAAAGGAGAGGGTGGTGCGCGTGGTTACAAAGGAGACAAGGGCACCAAAGGCGAGAAGGGAGATAAAGGTGATTCTGGACCAGCAGGAATTCCCGGTGTAAATGGTATTCAAGGACCGCAAGGGAACAAAGGCGAGCCAGGCAAGGATGGAGTTGCCGGTGTTCAGGGAATCGCGGGTGCAAAAGGTGAAAAAGGTGAGAGAGGTCCGGCAGGAATCACCACTATAGCGAGTTCCGGAGACTACATCACGATCAAGGGTGAAAAGGGCGCGGAGGGGAAGAGGGGGAGAAGAGGACGCCCTGGACCACCGGGACCCGTCGGCCCACCTGGAAAGCCGGGAGCGATGGGAGAAATTGGGTTGCCTGGATGGGTGGTACGAGAAAACTTCTTTTTATTACTTCCTCCACTTTCTCTCTCTCTTTCTCTCTCTCTGTCTCTTTTTTTATCGATCAATCCCTCTATTTCCGTTTGATTTCCTATCCGTCAATAGAATGGAGTTTCGGTAAAATTATTTTATTATCGTTTCTTTGCACGAATGGTTGCGTGTTATTTAATCTTGTATGCAGTGTAATAAAATGTGTATTTTTTTTCCTTTTTCTTTGTTGTTGACAGTATATGGGAGAAATAATTTTTCTTGAATTATAATTAAAATGATAAGAGATGATGTATGAACAAGATAAAATACTATTTTACAGAGATCTATCTAATAATGCTGAAAGATATACAATATATCGTATTTTATCCATATATTTCGTTGAAAAAAAGAAGAACAAGTCTAAAATCTATGTATAAGTAATTACAATATTTTGTCGTGAGAATTTTTTAATTAACTATTCTAATTAATTTGATCGTACGAAGAACAATAATTGATAACTCAAATATTAAGAGTAGAGCCAACAAGTTAAGATAAAGTTCTACCGGTGGCTTTTGACAGATTCTATAACTTTGAGGCTATACAGTTCTAAGTTTCAAAGATCAATTGCTGGCCACTTACTTTAATCTTGTAATAGACAAGTATCAATCCATAAACTTTATCAGATATAATCTCAAGATGTTAATTCTTCGTAAAAATAGTTTTGATGTTTTAGATTATAGATTAGACTGTTTCACTGTTTAACAGTAAAGTTGATATAATAATTAAATCGAAAAAGAAATTATTCTAACATATATATTCTAATTATCTGCAACTATTTCTTCATTTCTGTATTTTAGAAAGAAAAATATTGTTATGTACGCTTTCTGTGGAAATTTTTCTCCCAATTCTCACGATAAAAGAATCACGATATAATAATTATCATATACTCCCTATTACTGGAAACAATTATTAATTAATCATTAATATATAAAATAATCAAAATCTAAAATTATAATATGCTTTTTTCAATGCCATCCACAGAATACCATGAAAGTGAGTATCACATAACATTCTTCAATAGAAAAATAATAGCAATACACTCGTCTCATTGATTCGAAACATTTATCAATGAAACTTGATCGATTAATCGATTGTTATAGATCTATTTATCTCGATTAACAATGTAATAATCAGGTCTTAAAACAAGAAATCACAACAATCGAGCGAAGTGTATGCTAGATTGAACTGCATGCGAGATTAATTAAAGGTTTAATGAACGTAGAATATTCATGAATGAAGGAAGGTATAAGCTCTGTATATCGGTAACTACTTCTAACAGGGTCGTCCTGGAACTCCCGGACTTCCTGGACCTGTTGGACCAGCGGGGCCCAAGGGAGAAAAAGGAGAACCGGGCACACCGAGCCCTTATGGAGTCTCTGTCGGTGTAAGTATTATTCATTCACAGATTGCACTTCGAAATTGTGTAATTGAATATCCGTAAGCAATTTTCGTGTTGTCGATCGTATCAGAGAAATTTTGCGAATACTACGAAAAACATATATGGAAAACAATTTTAAACTGCTAAAAGTTTAATAGCGTTTCGATTAAAAACGTAACGAAACTTTGTAATATTGAATATTTTTTAAAGTTCATATTGAAAATTAATTTTTTCTATTTTTAAATATCCAGCCATTCAGGTCGAGTTCTTAGTTTACGTTTAATCATCTAGCAATTGTATAAGGGAAGAGAAACACCTGGTAGATGGAAAAGAAATTGGAAAAAATAATTCGATAGATTCAACGATGCGATATGATCTTCTAAGAGTAAAAAATATTCTATGAAAATTAATAGGGAAAGTAATAGAGAGGAGATTAGCTAGGGAGGGAAAGGAGAATTGTTCGAGAATTTTCAACGCGAAACGAATAAAAATAATGGATGTATCTTTTATCCTATCTCGTAGCGTAGTGGATTGAAATCTATAGGATCGATTCCTGTTACAAAATTTTTACGAAATTTGCAAGTCATTCTTTTCTTCTATTTGCATATAATAGTTTATGAATTTAAAAATGTTTTTTCCCCTCTTTTTTTTAACCCGATTCGACTCGATCTTTGCCAAGCTTGTTTAATCACCGTTACAACGCAAAACGCTCGTACGAGTTACAGCTACAAACGAGCGAACTCGAACATTTTTTAGTCGGAACGACCACTTTGTGAAACTCACGAAACTTGTAACAGTGCTCGTAGATCACCGTGTACACCCGCAAGTCTCATTGAACAAACCATAGAAAGCTCAGAGTGACGGAAATTAATGCAAGTGTGCGCTTGACGCTCGTTCCTTCTATTTTTATCCATTTCTTTTTTCTTTTTCCTCCTCGATCCTACTCTTTTTCATCTTTGTCGGCTAGCGAAGCCGCGAACTCGATTTATTCGGCGTCCCAAACAGAAATTCGTCGAAATTTCGTCGCCGACAAGTGACAACCGACGAACACGAGCGTATGCTCGTGGCAGGGCTTAATTCACAACACTTTGGTTTAAAAGCTGAGCCAACGTAAGGCAAACTCGACGCTTTTATTGCGCTCTCGAATGGCTTCGCATCGATGAAAACACGTACCGAGATTTATGCCGATTTGCATTTGGTGAAACTAGTTCAAGTACCTTTTTTTTTTTTTTTTAAG